AAGCGGCGCACTATCCAGTGTGCCACCGGGCCGGCCCTATAAACTTTATTTTTAATGTATAACTTGAAAAACAAATTTTAAATCATGTAAATTATTAGTCCTTTAGTAACAATATTTTTATTTTCTTAAGTCAGTAGCTTACTAAAATTAGTCATAAGCTACGATATGATCAGGTTAGCAAGACACTTTTGAAAAATTCTTACTGTCAAAACCCTATAAAACTGATTTGTGGTCAAAATCTTCAAAAACATCTTGTTCTCTTACTTCCACTAAATGTCAATATTCTTGGGTCCTCTTCTAAAACTCTAATATTTCATTTCTGTGTAACATTTTTTATGAAGGCCAAACATGGTGATCCATGTATGTGATGAAGCAAAAAACTTGAAAGAAGATTTTGTTTGCCCACGAGATCTTTTGATATCAGAAATGAAGTACTTTGCTGAATATTTATCTGTGGATGCCCAGCGCTGGGAAGAGGTGGACATTTCAGTTCATTGTGACGTTCACATTTTCAACTGGTTGATACAATATGTTAAAAGGAACACTAAGGAGAATAAAGATTGTGAGATGCCCATTTTAGGTAAAAGACAATCTATTCCTTATTTTGTAGTGAAATTTATGTGTCTTCTGGAAATTGCTTCAGGGCAAAAGTGAAATTTGGAAAATTGTTTGGACATTAATATTTATGCTCATATTAGTAACAGCCTTTTAGGAAACTGATACCTCATCTTTTTTTTTAGTAAGCTTAGTTAAATTATATAGTAAATTTATAGCAAATGGACAGGTCTTCTACGTCAGCAATTCTCAATATATTGTATATGTACCACTGGGGTCATGGAAACCTTTCTAGAGGGTCAATGAGGTCAAAACAGTTTGAATAATAATACCAAGATATTATGTGTCATTTTCACTGTGTGGACATTTGCTCAGATGGTGCAAAAGCAATGGTTGGTAAAATTGTTGGATCCTTAGCCCAAATCAAGGCAGGGGCATCAAACTGTCCTAGTTGTCACTGTATTCTTCAACACCATGCACTCATAGCTAGAAAGGAAAAAAAAAAGAAAAAGTCTAGTTTTAGTTAAGAATGTTCTTGATGAAGCAGTAAAAATTACTTACTTTATTAAATCTCCAACCTTGAGGATACTTCTGTGTGTTTAATACTCTGTGTGATGAAATGGGAAGTGTACTTCTGCCGCACACCAATGTACGATAGCTTTCTTGAAGAAAAGCACTTATGTGATTGTTTGATTGTGAGCTAAACTAGCTGCTCTTTTAAAAACAGAAAACCATTCTTACTTGAGAGAATGACTGACAGAGAAATTATGGTTATTCAGACTTAGATATTTGGCAGACATTTTCTTGAAAATGAGCTGGTCACTTGTCTTTGACAAAATTTGAGCTTTCAAATAAGAATAGGAGTTTCAGAAAACTTACCTGCTTTCGTGTGGTTGGCAGCATCTCAGTACTTGAAGACTTTTCCA